GTCATTGATTTAATGTTCGGCCGGGTTTTGCTGTGTTTCTCTGAGTTCCTAGGTTAAAAAACCCGAACAATGTTCTATATTCAATTAACGTATGATCCGATTAGTCGATTAATCGAAAAAATAATCGATGACTAATCGATTATTAAAATAATCGTTTGTGGCAGCCCTATTCAGGACAAGCATGGAAAATCCCCCACTCTTACGCCAATATGGTCACAATGATGCATTTAGGTACCAAAACATGGTACCGTTTCATGTTACGTGAACAAGTACTCGGTAGTACCGGCAGAATTTGGTCTGTACTTATAAAAGAATAAAATTCGTTACCCATCCCTACTTGAAACAATACAAACTTGTTTTAACTGGACATTAGGGAGTGCTCACAGCAGAGAAAAAAAGGGGACTGGGGCTGATTTTCAGACCTTTGTGGAGGTAGATGATCTTACCTAAGTATTGGTCGATCTCTGATCTCCCAAAATTAATGCAATCGATGCCAATGAATCGACATGCACCGCTAATAAAAATTGCTATAAAATATGGTTTTGCTTTTTTTATGAACCAATATAAAATTATTGAGACTGAAGCAATGTAAAGGAGAAACCCCTCTTTGGTCTCAGCTAGATTTAAACTAGCAATTAGCATCTTAATCCTATCAGAATAAAGCATTATTTTTCCAAAACGATTCAAAAAGCTATCTACATAAAGTGGGATTTAATTTGTTGACAACCTTTCCACAGAACCAGACTCCAAAAGATCTGAATTAGTATTTTAAGGAAGGTGCGCATAAACATGGCTGTAAAACCTTAAACGGTCTTGTTAATGCAAAAATAAGTGAAAATGTTCTGCAAATAAAAAGACAAACAGTGTTGTATGTAAAATGAGTTGGTGTTAAAACAGCCTAAATTACTGATTAATATACTTGTTTTTCTCCGACATCCCATTTTTGCACTTCCACGTATTTTTGTTAAACAGCAGCAAGAGGCTGAACAGATAAATAGTTTTTGATACTTTAACTGCATTTGGATATGTTTTAGTAAGGAAGTATATTTTTCCTAAACAAAAACGTTTTTTTTTTTACAAAAGTAAACCAACTCTTAATTAAAGAATGTACAAAAATAGACATTAGATTACTTTTATTTATTTTGTAGCTTTGTGATTTTCGACTAGTGTCCAAATGTGATAGAAAACAAAAAGCCTTGAAAGGGAGAGGCAACGCCAAAAACAATTAAGCTGAAGAGTCGGGAAGTCTTACCGAATATCTCCCCACCGCTGGCAAACTCTGTTACCAGATAGATCATCTTCTCCGTCTCCATCACCTAAAGACATAAACAGATGATAACAGAAACTCTAGACAGGCCAACATCCAGTGATGGGGCGGTTCAGCTGTTACACAACAGTATGAGTAAGCATGGTTTGGCATATCAACAAGAAGGATTTAAATAGAACAAAAACTATCAGGGACTTCTGGGTAGTCTTCAATCTGTGTTTGAACACTCACATATGGAATTTAGAGACAAAAAGACTCAAGTGTTTACACTTCAAATCCTGGTTACTGCAGGCAAGATGGTCTGATAAGAACAGTTCTATACAAACTTAGGGAGGTTTGGTAAAAAGAAATAAATGAAGACAACCCTGCCTCAGGTTCACGCTTGTTCATGACTTTGATTACATTTTTCATCTTTATCGAACTGAACAAACAAAACAAAACTACGGCATCGTTGTGATCCAGTCAGCCAACATTTATGTTAGTTCTACTGGACCACAGCTCTCAGGAGGGAGATGCGAGCAAGAGATGGCAGTCTCTGTGGGGGAGTGCGTACCTGGTAGAGGCGGATGATGTGGGGGTGCTTCAGCAGCTTCATGATCTGCACCTCTCTGAAGATCTTCTTCAGGTTCTCATCGTCCAGCTGGGTCTTATCCACTATTTTTATCGCCACCTGAGATAAGAAAGGGATGGAAGGATGAAGGACGAAGAGTGTGAAGGATGGGGGGGGAGTGGGGGGGGGAGACGTGGAAGAAACAGAGAGAGGAAGAGAGGACAGTGAGTCTGAGTGAAAATTAAATAACCAACATTCCTTGAAGGAACGTATATAACTCACCGTCTTTTAAGCTCGTATTAAACTAAAACTTTCAGCTACAATCATATCAACTTCTAGCTCTATATCTGTACAACTCACTGAATTCAGCCTTTCTTGTGTTGGCTAATGTTGATTACTTGCAACTATCTTGAATTAGATTACCTCCAGCGGTTAATCAGTTGTACATTACATTTAATAACTTCCTGGGAGTTTCAACAAAATCATTCAGTACTTCAGAATAGAAATATAGAAATAGTCTTTATTGTCCTGCAGAGGGAGAATACAGGTGTCACAGCAGAATCCATTCAGAGGTTCACACACTAGTTACTTTACAAACTATAGATAGTACACACAAAACAAACATTAACACTGACTAGCAACTACAACTACTGATAATAAAAATAATATAAAGAGTTGTGCAAGGATAAAAAAAGATATGTTTTGTTTTAGAGACAGTAGACTATCAAAATCAGACATTGGGAATCAGAAATTGCCTGTTTTCAGTGCAAAACAATCTCAACAGACCAATAACAGTAAAGTGAAGTATCACAATGCAGACAAGAAACACAAGATCATGAGTTCATGAGATATTTTACTAACAAACAGGGTTGCCTCCAACAGCTAGTGATCAAGTTTTAGACAAGATCTCGCACAATGGTTGGCACCTGGAGCAAGGGTAGCTGAGTTTTTTCCATGCAGCTCTCTGGTTCTAAAATTTAAAACTATGTATACTAGTAGGGCTGTGTATTGGCAAGAATTTGGCGATGCGATACATATCATGACAGAGGGGTCACGATACGATATATCCCGATATATTGCGATACTATAAGCAAGGCAATATATTGCGATATATTGCGATTTTTTTGTCCTAAAATTATATTCAAGAGGTAGAGGAGCCAAATGGCTGGCTCACTGCTGCCACCTAGTGGTCAGAGGCTGAACTACAACATAAAAATGAAC